AATTTGCAGCAACATGGATGACGCTGGAAGGGATCATGCTCAGTGAAATAAGCCAAAAAGAAAAAGAAAAATACCGGATGGTCTCACTCATAGCAGGGATCTAGAAAACTTAAATAAGGGACCAGGAAAATGAATAACTATAAGAAAGTGAAAATCAAAATCAACAAAAACTATGAACCAGAGACACTTTTTGGGGGGTGGGGGGCGGGGAGGGGAGGGATTGGGGTCAGAATGGGGGATTGCAATTGTATGGGGAATATAAAAATAAAATTTATTAATTAAAAAAAAATAAAATGAATATTAAAAAAAAAAAAGGGGGTGGGGAGGTAGCAAATAGAGTAAGAGGGTCAATAGTGTGCGGTAGATGGAAAAACTAAACTTTTGGTTGAGATCATAACATAGTATGTGCAGATGTGAACTACTGATATATGCTGTATATCTGGAAATACATAATGTTATAAACCAATGCTAGTGTTACAGGGGCAGGGGAGAGGGCAGCCCAAACCCCACAAACCTGCCTATTTTAAATGGGTTCTGCCATCTGCCTCATCAACACAAAACATATGAGATTTAATGGGAAGGAACTTTAATACAACTAGGAAACAATACAGGAAAGGCAAAGAATCTAGTTTCTAAAATCAAGCACCCAAAGTTACCCATCCCCTCGTGGGTAAAACTCCATCCAAACAGGATTGGCCCAGAGCAAGGCCCCAAAGCCTGCCACAAGTCTAAAGCCCCTTCCAGTGGGGACCCACAGAAAAGGGTCAGAAACAACCAGACAAGCCCAGAAGGAAAAGAGCAAAATCAAAATCAAGATAAATGCTGCCATTGTCACCTCCCCACGGGTCTCACCCACATCTGTGTCACCCAGTCCACGACCAAAAGACAAGCGCAGTTTCTTCAGGTGTCTCTAGGCTCCATGTGCCTCCTCCAGGTCTCCTTCTGGCTCTGCATCCTGCTTCCTTCCTTCCTCAGTCTCCTCTGCAGCTTCTTCTCTCCCTGCTCAGCTCCACCCTCCATTAGGGTGGGGCAGGGAACCTGGAACCTCCCCCTTTCCTGGGACCACCCTGTTACAATTTTTCCTACCAGAGAAGGTGATATAAGTGGAAAGACTGGGGCTCCTAAAAATTCATAGCCATCGATTTCACCTGGCTCTCTAGCCAGGCTTAGCTATTCTCAGTTCAATTTTTTTCACATCGATTATATAAAACTTCACTATTCTTCTCAAATTGCTAATTCTCCCAAGTCACCCCTTACACAGATGCTATGATACACAAAAAGAAGCCATCACAATGGAATGTCCTCACTGCTCATCACAAGCAGAGGCACACACATGCTTCTCTTTCCATGGCTGACCTTACTTCCCACCCACGATCAGTCCCTACCCATACTTAGACCCCTGCTACCCCCTCTTTCCAGAGAGGGCATCTTCTTTTAAAAGATTTATTTTTATTTGTGCATACAAAAACTGGGGTGTAGGCCAGAGGTGCAGGGGTAGGCACGAGAGGATTCACCAGAGACAGAGTGAGGAGCAGAACAGGCGGATCTACTGAAATACACTGCTGAGGGAGCAGCAGGCAAGACAGGAGAGGTCTGCTGCATCATGTGAGTTAGCTCCCTGGCCTGGAACGTGCTGCAATAGCTTCATAGTGCTGTGACGTAACCCTTTGTACCACCAGGGAGGCCCAGAGAGAGACCCTTACTCCCCAATTTCTCTCTTTTCTGTCTCTCTGGCATCATGTTTTTTAACTGAATCTTTCCCAGGCATTTAAATATGCTCATACCTCCCCCACTGGAAAAAAAAATGAAAGACCACTTCATTCCTTCAATCCTATATCACTTCCAGCAACTAACGTCTCTTCTATTTTTACAGTTAAACTTCCTTAAACAGTGCGTGTCTCTAGTGATGACAAACTACTACACAAACTACTACAGAGATGATTTGATCCACATATTTAAAATTTTTTTGTATCAGTCAAAAGTGGCTTAAAAGTCAGGATAGGGCCCTCCCTGGTGGCACAGGGAAAATTAAGGACAGTGCTATCAAGCTATCACCAGCCCCTGCAGCACAAGTTCAATCCCCGGCGAGGGAGCTACCCACATGGCACAGCAGACCTCTCCTGTCTAACCTGCTGCTCCCCTCAGCAGTGTATTTCAGTCAGTCTGCCTGTTCTGTTCCCCACTCTGTCTCTGGTGAATCCTCTCAACCCTGCACCTCTGGCCTGTACCCCAATTCTTGAACACATAAATAAATAATCTTAAAAAAAAAAAGCCAGGATAACTTCTTGTGAACAACAGGATTGTCTGGTTGTGACTGCCTCACTGCTGCTCCTTCATCTGGGGCAAGGGTGATCCAGTTTACAGTAGTTTACCTTTGTTTCATATCCAGTAGTTTCCCTCAAGCATTTCATTCCCTTTGTCACAAAGGACCTGTGCAACCTCTGGGCTAATTATGGCAAGGTCTTACATTCACCTCATATCTACACCTCTGCACTCTGTAATTGCTTCCATCACCTCACTCTACTGAAACAAACCATTCTTGCCACAATCACCAATGAGCTGAGCTAAATCTGACATTCTTTTCAAATCTTGTCTTGCTTGACCTCTAAGCAGCATGTAAGCCTGTTGGTCAGGCCCTCCTAGACTCTCTCCTTCTCCCCTCTTTACTCTTTTTTCACTTAAGTGGAATTCTTCTTTTTCACTCTCCTGTGTAAGCTCTCCTGTCATTTTTGTGTTGGTCTTTCCCAGGACTGGTCCTCAGCCTGTAGCTTTACCCACACCGCTCTTCATGTGTGATCTCAAACATGCTATCTCATTTGAACAGGATTCTTGTAGCTGGTGTTCCTGCCTCCAGCCCATCATCAACACTCTAGCAATGGTCTCTCCCTGAAGAAAATTTGATTATAACATCCAAAAGCAGTCAGTGTCTTCATACTGCTTTTCGGATCAAGTTGAAATGTTATGGTGACTGTAACTGACGATCCATATGCTCACCATATCTACTTCTTTGGCCCTTTCTATCTCCACAGCATATTAGAGCCAGTGGAATTTCTTACA